ATCATCACAACAACAACATCACCATCATCATCGTCATCATCATCATCATCATTTGGTCAACGTCACGTGGTCTCAGACTATTTTTAGTAGTTCCGGTTTAGTCGAGGTCTACTCTGAGATGGTGGCCTGGCCCATTAGAAAAATTGCACCCCATAATAATAATAATAATAATGACAATAATAATAATAACAATAATAATAACAATAATAATAATAATAAGAGTAATTATAATAAGAGTAATTATAATGGCGCAACTCTTGGCGCCAGCGATCTTATATTTACTGAATGGAGATATGAGAAAAAAATTTGTCACGGTAATGATGACGATGACGACGATGATGATGATGACGACGATGAGGACGATGGTGACGATTCTTTTTATGGCGATTTATTCATTTCATTATATTTCCATGCCTATTTTGTGAAGACGACGATGATGAACATAACGCAATGAAACCGACATGATAATGATTGCAATATTACTACTACTACTACTACTACTACTACTACTACTACTACTACCACCACTACTACTACTACTACTAATAATAATAATAATAAAAATATTATTAATAAAGATGATGATGATGACGATGACAGCAGTAGCGAAGATAAGAAATGCCCATCAAACCATGATGATGACGACGACGACGCTGAAGGTAGTGATGATGAAGGTGATGATGATGGTGGTGGTGATGATAATGATAGTGATGGTGATGATGATGATTATCATTTTTAAGGATCGGAACGCCGAGAGAAAAAGCTAAGTTGCGTATATGAACAGCAGCATGACAAGAAATATATAGTGAGATGGATTGAAGATGGGTTGGTTTGATATCATTCATTCTTTCATTCGTTATTTTATTTCTTCCTTTACTCACTCACTCACTCACTCACTCACTCACTCACTCATTCATTCAATTATTCACCCATTCATTGAGTCATTCAATAATTGATTGATCCATTCATTCATCTGTTCATTTAATTTTCGTTAATTCACGTTTGGATGTTACTATTTAAAACTTCCAGTTTAATGTTTTTCAGTTACTGATATTTAAGTTATTTAAAATAATCCAAAAACAAACACACACACACACACACTACACACACACGCACACACACTTACACGCACATACACACACTCGCACACACACACGCGCGCGCACACAGTTGCACTAACAAACGGTGCGATATTTGATGCGTAAAATTTAACACTTTTGTATAAGGGTAAGAAAGATTTAACAACAACATTCACAACAACAACAACAAACAACAACAACAACATACTCAACAACAACAACAACAACAACAGCAACCTCAACATTAACAACAACAACAACATACTCAACAACAACAGCTTCAATCACAACAACATCAAGAACATTAATAACAACATCAAAATCTCTATTGTACATATCTTAAAACACGTAAAGAATGGAGAAAAGAAGAAAGAGAGAGAGAGAGATAGAGAGAAAGATAGAAAGAGAGAAAAAAAGAGGACTACGTATTCTACGAGTATTCGACTGAATAATTAAACAAGCGAATCTTTCTCGCATCCCTGACCGCTCCAGTTCCGACAAAACCGACCGACAGACGCAAAGCCTTGAACCGGTTCAACGAATGAAACAACGTTCGGAATGAATAATTAGGAATTAGGCAGATGTAGGGATGTGCTAGATTTTGTAAAGTGGGGGCTGGGGTTAGAGTAATAAAATGTAATTTGGAAATTAGNC